CTGTGAGTTGAAGAAAAAAATCATTTTTATAAAACATCTCAAATGGTTTATCTATATAAACCTCAGTGTTCTTGGTGACCTTTTAGGTTAATGATAATTGTGCACATAGCTCCAAAGCCCATAACAAAGAGCTCTAACAGGATAATTGGTAAGCACTACTATCCTCAAAATAATCAAACTGTTGAATAGATAAGATTTAACTTTTGTACATTGAGGGTTGCTCTTTAATGACAGTTAGTCAAGGTCATAACAGAATTTTACATGTTACCTCAACTTTCTTTATTCTCTGTACTTTCTTTTCACGCTACTTAATGGAAACCAAGACTTATAATCTCTTTCAGATAAATATGTCTTGTAATGTCACATTTCATGGAATCTGGAGCTATAGGGGAAGTTTGTATCCTAAAACAGATACAAGAGAGAGCAATAATATTTGTGGTCACAATATTTTGGAAAACTTGGTTGTGAACTAACCTAGCAAAAAGAATCATTGGCAATTAATATAATCAGGAAATTACCTACATAACTTATAACTTATATATGGGTATATGTCCATTGTACATGTATGAGTATGCTTATACTACTGTACAGATATGTTCTATATTATTGATTAATTTATATTTTGTACTTCAACATAGAATTGTGTGAAGCAAATCCTATAAACTACTATGTTTTCCTGAGTATATGATTTAAAATAAAAATTCTAGAAAAAAGGACATTCCTCTTGAAAACATAGAAGGTAGATTTCAACAGAGCCTTCAGAAGTCAAGAAAGAAGAGTTAAAAGGATGCTGATTTTGTCAGGCTTACCTTCTATGGATAGAAAATGTGGTAGAATCAGTAAAGTATAAAAAAATTCCAGATTCTGCTAATTAAAACAAAATCACAAAAATAGCCACTCTGGAAATATTGTAACTAAGGCCCTCATGATTCCACTTTTTTTTCAAGTGCACAAAAGATTGATGGCAGTAGAAGACAAAAGGAGTCAAAGTCATTTGGGACTTCTTCTGAGAGTGAAATTTTTTAAAAAATAGCATTGGCTAAGAGAGTTTCTTCACTAGGACAACAAGAAATACCACATACGCACTTACACACACACACACACACACACACACACACAAAGCAGTTTAATTCCAGGAATGGCTGCACTGTAGATAACACCAAAGGCTAGATACCCACACTACAGCTAAAGAAAAAATTACAGCTCAGTATTTAGAGTACAAAATACATATATTAAATGTGGATAAAATAGAAGACTGGTGTGAAAGGTGCCAGGGTGTACGTGTTTTTATATTTCCATGAATATTGCTCTAAATTATATATAAATGCTTCGTATGTGAGAGATTAGTTCATTGTTACTCTTCTTTAAAGATAATTGCATTTTCATAGAAGAAAAGCATAATTTTAGAGCTTGAAAATTGCCTCGTCTAACCCTCTCATATTATAAAAGAAAAGCATTCTGCATATTTGAATGTCTTATTCAACGTTACTTTAGTAAAGGAGGGGTTAGAGCTAGTGCTGACCTCCTACTGTAGGTAGCACAGTGCTTAGCATTGCAGTTTTGTCCACAGGCTGGGTTCCTCGGGATTTGATCCTATTTCTACAATCCACTAGCTTTGTGGTTTTGAGCAGGCCTCAGTTTCTTCATATAGGGATGATAATTGTATTTGCCTAATCAGATGAAAGTAATCTTCTAGCAGTGCTATATATGCTCCACAAAGACACAAGAATTTCTGATGTATAATAAAATCTATTAATATTACTATAATTAGTTACCATTAGTGTTGAAATCTGAATCTCTATCAACCCTAAATGGAATGCCTACCATTTAAATTGGTGTTTCTCAACCCATCTTCATGTAAGTACCTCCACATGAGCTCCTTAGAAACATAGACTCCCTGCTTGAGGCCAGACATAATTTATCAGAAACACCCTGGGATCAGGGACATTTTAAAAATAAGTTCTCTCAAAGGATTTTGAAGTAGTACAGATATTGCTGGTTGCCAGATCAGCATTTGGAAACCACTGGCAAGACATCGGAGGTGTGATCCAAAAATATCTCTCTATGTAAACATATATCCAAATGAATACCTAAGCAAGAAGACTAGAAAGAAATGAGACACATAAAATAGTTTCTTAAATCAAAGAAAGTAGGAAATATAGCTGTCATCAAAACACACCATAGGGAAATATTCAAAGTTTCTGAGTGTTAAACTTTGCACCTATAAATATTATTGTGTTTTTTTATAGTTGTAGATTTAGGCCTCTCAAATCCTGCCTTGAAGGAGATACCTTCCCAGTGATTTGGGGTGCGACCACTATTTGAGACTTGTCCTTATCATATAAGACATTCATTCTAGAAATAAAGAAGAACATTCTAAAGCACAATAGAGACATCCTAGCTGTTGTACTTCTCAAACATCACAGATCCCTAAGTTAGTGATTAACATTTTAAAAAGACATACAGAGGCAAAGCAGATGACACTGCTAAACTCCAGTTAAAGTAGAATGCGTGTCCATGGAGACTGAATGTGAAAGATACTTTGGGAGGAGAGATACAGATTTCTGTTAGTCACCTAAAGAAAGACAATAACATTGCCATGGGGAAGAATGAGGCTGGAAAATGGAGAAGGCATGGCTAGAAGATCACTTCCCAAAAGGCCTAGAATACCACCTCACCACTCACAAGGAAGGCCCATCTGATGAGGAAGCAGGGGTACTCAGCGTAGCTTTGTAAAAGGCTACATTTGTGTATTAACTTTTAGCCACTTTTACAAAGCCCACAATAATGAATGAACCCTGTGTTTTCTAATGAGATTTTTGTGGTTTTTATGAAGATCTGCTTTAAAAGAAATGCAGCAGGCACAGGCAGAACATGAATCTGCTCTAAGAAAGCCTGGAAGCCATTCCCAGTACACCGTGCGATGAATGAACTGATGTGGTAAGCAGCACCCTGGTACCCAAACAAGACCATTCCTAACTGAATGAGCTTTCTCTCCTAGGGCGCTTTCCCCCAACCTCTGCAGATACATGCTATGGAAATTTGACCACAGGAAAGGAAGTTTGTAACTAGAAAATCATATGTCATATTAAAATTACTCTAACCTATTTGTCAAGTATTCAAAGACATGATATGTGAAGGAACAGGTTTCGGTTTTTATGCTATTATATAGATAAAGGTAAGCTTTTTCATTATGACAGCAAAGATGAGAATATGAGGGATTTATTAAGAAACAAGAAGGAGAAATAGACCAAAGTGTTTTAATTTACCCTCTTCTTGTTTTGCTGGATGGAGAATTTTAAGGAAACAGTGAAAAGAAGCAGAGCATTGAGCCTTTGGAAGTGTTTGCTGCGGAACATAATACAAAACATGCTCCTGAATATAACACACATGAAGAATGGACTGGATTTATGCCTGAAGGATCCTCCACATGGAGCAACCTCTGCACAAGTACTGGACCCCAGATGACACATACAGGGGAAGTCTGGTGAAGGAAAGAGGTAGCACTGGGATGAGTAGCACGAAATCAACACTGGAATTCCAGGTCCACCATGACTTGCTGGGAGGCTTTTATAATTTGGACTCCAGTTTTCACCATTTACTAAATTAGCAAATTGACACAGATTCTTTGGGGATCCATCCTACCTTTGAAAGTCGGTAACACACGGAGGCAATTTAATGTTCAACTAATTCAAAATAATTTAACGAAAGAATTAGTGACCCTTACCTCTCACAGCAATCAGGAGGTAGTTTAAATAAGGAATGTTGGCCAACCAAGAGTGATGGCGATTACGGCAAACTAGAGACAGGTACTAAGTGGTACCCCATTCTTTCCAAGCAAGAGGACAGCCCCTGTGTTGTCAAATTGGACAAGCACAGTTAGCTAAATGTAGATGTATAAATCACATATGCTTTACTTGTAGTTTAAGACCTACCTGCAAAAAAGTCCAGCACACATGCCTGCATTGATGAAAGTCCACTACATGTCTAAAACAAAGCATACCTTACACATTAACTCTTCTAGACTATTGAATAAAATGGAATACTTGCAGCATGAACCTTTAAAATAAACCTGACCAAAATATATTTCAAGAAAAGAATTTTATAGACTAAAGCTCCCTGTGAACACAGATGCAAAATTTCTAAACAAGAGTTTAGCAAATCACACCCAACACTACATAAAATGGATAATATGTTATAATTAAATGAATTTTATTCCAGGAATGTAATTGTAAGGTTTTATTTAACATTTGAAACTCATCATTATAATTTAGCATGTAAATAGCCTAAAATATAAAACTCTGTTATGTTTTCAGTACACATAGAAAAGGCATTTGACAAAATCCAAAATTCTTGGAAAAAAAATCTTGGCAAACAGGAATAAAGAAAATTTCATCAGCCTGATAAATAAAAAAATGTATAGAGTATTGTATAAAACATGATGAATGTTTAAATTTATTAAAATAATAAAACACATAGCTATTAATCACTCTAAAATATTCCCCTTTGCTTCAAACACACAGATCCCATCATTCTTGGCAATGTGTCTTTTACAGAAATAAGGTCTAAAAACATCTTGAAAAAAAAATTTAAAAAAGAATACATTCACTGAATTTTTTCATCACCCACTGTGGTAAAAACACAGAGCCAACCTCATACTTTTCGATAAAAGATTGGCTGGTTTTTGTGGCAAGATTAGGGAATAAAAAGTATGTCTGCTCTCACCTTTTCTATTAACTGAACTGTAGTTACTAACCATTGCATTTAGATAGGAAAAATAAATATTTAACATCCAATTTTGAACAAGAAAAAGTAGAATTGTCTTTGTAGTTGACCTCCATTACTGTTGGAGGACATGTTCCAAGGTCCCCAGCAGATTCTTGAAATCAGATAGTAACAAACCCTACATATATTTTTCCTACATACATATCTATGATGTAATTTAATTTTAAAATTAGGCACAATATAAATTAGCAGCAACAGCTAATAGCATACCTGAACATTTCTTTTAAAAAGTTACATGCAGTGGTCTTTCTCAAAATATTCTATAGTGTGCTGCTAAACCTTCTTTTTCCTGTGATATGAGACAACAAAACACCTGTGTGATAAAATGAAATGTGGTCAATAATGTAGGCAAGTAACATGGTATCAGGCTACTACTGGCCTTCTGATGTTATGTCTGAAGATTATGACATACTACTTTTTTCTTTTCTTATTTAGTTGAGAATTTTTAATTTTTTACTTAAGTGAGCCTTAAGTTCTCAGGCCATTATTAAGTAAAATAAGTGCTACTTGAACACAATCACTGTGACTGCCAGCCTGATAATGGAGATGACCACTACGTGACTATTGGGCAGATAGGGGACAAAGGGATGGTTCGCATGCCATGTGGGACAGAGTGGGATAATATGAGAATTCACCAGCACGGTAGGCAATTTTGCGTTTCTTAGTGGCTTATTTCTAGCAGTTTCCACAAATAGTTTCAATATTTTATATTCACAATAGAACTTTAAAGCTGATTCTAAAATACAGAAATTAAAAGTGTAATCTATTTCAAAATTGAAAATTGCGTGTCATCACAGTTTAAAAATCTACTCTTTCAAAGAAATGTTTACACGATGAAAACATGTTATCCACAAACTGGGTGAAAATGTTTGCAGTTCTCATGGGATAAAGGATTTGTATTCAAAATATGTAAATAACACTCATCTCAATAATGAGAAAACAGACTGTTCAGAAGCATACAAAATGATTCTCAGTACTGAAAAGCATTAGGTATTTTAAAATGAAAACTAAAAGTACAATAAAATAACACTACACAACTTTTTAAGATAAAAACTCTCAAAATCCAAGTTCTGGTAAGGCTGTGGAGGATTTAAGCTTCCACACACTGCTTATGGGAATGTAAAATTGTATAGTCCCTAGGAGAAGCACTTTTACGATCTCTTAAACTGTTGACTATACGCCTACTGGATGACACAGTTAATCTGGATGACACATTCTACTTCCAAATGGTTTCCAAAAATCATAGGTTCATACTGGTGCACAAATGTGAAAAGAAGTTTTATACAGACTAGCCAAAAATTATGAAAAGCACATATGCGCATCAACACATAGATAAATAACACATAGTGGTACTTTATTTTTATACAATCAAGCACTACTCAGCAACAAAAAGAAAAGCACTATTGATTTGTGCATAGCTGGATGAATATGATGTTATGGTTGAAACATTGTGTCAACTTGGGGAGTCTAGAGGTTTGGCTAAGTAACTTAGCAGGAAGCCAGAGTGCTTACTTTGTATACATCCTGAGCCTGTGGAAGAGGAGGGCACAAAGATTATGTGAGAGCTACACGCCCCTTAGGTGGGGGTAGCCTGTTTACAAAGTAAGGCAGGGAAAGAAGCTGCTTGCCGCCATTCCTGCCGTTTGCTCTGGCTGTTTGCTGTTCAGCTGCCATTCCCCCCTTTGCTCTTGTTGGTTTGCTACCTTCTGCCTCGGAGCCAACCAAGTATGGACTGAAACCTCCACAAACTGTAAGCTAAATAAACCTTTCCTTCCTTCATTTTGGGCGTTGGGTATTTTGTCTCAGCAACGAGAGAAAAGTAACCAAGACAGAGCTCACGGATTCACGACACTATCATGTTAGGTGAAATAAATCAGACACACAAGCTTAAATATTGCATGATTTCTCTTTAGTGAGGTATCAAAATATAAATTTTTGAAAAAAATAAAATATAGATAATAGGAAACATGGAGATAGATCTTTTGCAAATGAGAAGGAGACAACATGGGGGAGGGTAGAGACACAGAAAAAAGGGAATGAAAAAAAATCAAGCTGTGTTATGTACAGGTACCAATTCTCCAAGATGAATGTAATCATTAGGTACTGCAAACATGTAATAATAAAACTTTAAAAATCAAATAAACTATATTCTTACATCCATATAAAATGCTAGAAAGTCCCAATTAATCTATAGGAACAGAAAGCTGATCTTTGATTGCCTAGAAATGCAAGAGGGGTGATGAGGAAAAGCAGAAGGCTTAAAAGATTCTATTAGGCATCTTTTGTGAGGATGAATATGCTATTTTGAATGTAGGTTTGGTTTCAGAGATAAACACATATGTCGAAACTACCAAATTTAAATATGTTTTTATTTATTACATACCAACTAGACTTCAGTAAATCTGTTTTACTTTTTCATTGCCTGTGAGAATTCTCAAGCAAGTCAGTCTTCATGTGAAATGATTCTTCAAAGTCACATGGCAACTAGAGCACTAGGCTGTACAAAATCATGTGGCAATGATTACTTAAGTGTGAGTTATCACATTAACGTAAAATGCTCTAAATTGGTCATTTAAAACAATGATTGACAGCATGAAATTTATCTAAAAATAAAAGCAGAAAGGAGAGTGGAAGAAGATATATTAAACAAATATTGGTCAAAAGAAACTTTGTGTGGGTATGATAACATCATCCAAATTCCACTATAAGTCAAAAAATATTCAAAACACAAAGAGATTAATTCTAATAAACAATTGAATTTATAATCCTTTGGATATGATGGATATGTTTATGGCACTGATTGTAGTAATAGTTTCATAGGTATAGCTCACCCCTAAACTCGTCAGTTGTCTAAATATGCCCAGCATTTTGTATATCAGCTATAGGTTACTAATAAAGTGCATCCCTTAGCTTGTAATGTTCATTTAAACTTGAAAAATATGAATTCTTTCATGGAAGGCACCATGTCTTACCTTTGTATTCATAATACATAGACCCATATCAAGCACATAGTAGGTGCTCAGTAAATGTTTAATGAAAGAATAAATAAGTGAATTAGTAGTTGAGTACTCTCAGATTAAAAGCTAAGGTGAAGATTAAGTTTGTCTAATCAGAATTAAAGTTCAACTGTGGGAGCAACAGTTTCTGAATTTAGAAAATCAGAAGATGGGAATTAGACCTATTCTCTACCACTAAACCCTTAGGCAAGGGTTGATAAATCCCTTTCCCACCCCTGGTCTTTGCCTTCGCATTTAGAGTAGTGATCCAAACATACTTCTTCCATATCATAATTTTCTTCAAGTTGTATTTTTCAAGTTCCTGCAAATTCTTAAGTGAAAAGGAACACATGCACCAAGGATTGTTATTTTTATAATGGCAGAGAAGAGAAGGATTCCTCTGCATCCTTTCCCTTTCAGGTACTTCCTATCTCTGCCCTAGTCTTGCAAGTCACCCAGTAATAATTATCTCTTATAAATCAGGCCTACCTGAAGTTTTCTTTACTTCATAGTTGCAGCAAGCTGGCTGCTTTTCCCTTATTATGTTTTATATCTTTGTTTTCTTTGCACAGGCCTCTTTCCTCCTACCACTGTAATTCTCCATGTCATGAAATGCTAAATTTATAGATTAAAAAAATGTTGGTTTCTATCAGGTCTGAATAAAAACTGTACCCTAATTATAAAAAAAATAAAAATAAAAGCATCCCACCCTTTGCAAAGACTGAGTTACTTGAGAATGCTGACAAATGACTTGCAAAGTGGCCAGTTACCCTGAAGGGAACTCTATTTTCCATTTGCTGGACATCTAAAGATCTTTATTAGTCATCCTCAGTAAAAGAAAACTCTGTTCTCTAGATAGGCTGGTCTCTATGCTATACATATGGCTAGTACCCAGCTCAGGGAAAAAAACAAGGAAAACTATAGGAAAGCTATAGCTTTGTTATGCTTCCCAAATACTAATGATATTTAGGACTGAGGTCCTAAGACAGAGCCCTGTAATCTCACAGAGAAAGTTTTTTAAGAACCAAGAATTCTTTTCTGATGTAATATCGAAGTAAACCCTCTTAAGGGAATCCACTGCCTTGAAACACAATAGATTTTAAGTCAATGCTTGTTGAGTGAATTTCAGATCAAATCAGAGAATATCAAAACTGGAAAAAACTGGAGAAATCACCTGGAGGAAATGAAGGCCCAGAAATATTAAGCAAACTGCCAAAGATCACAAAAGGAACCAGAGGAAAAGACAAGGCTAGAATCTACATTTTCTATCTCTCTATTCTTTATTCTTTCCCTAAGATAGTTATTCTGTTACTCGGCTTTTTTGTTTCTGGGACAAAACACCTGATACCCACAATTTAAATGGGGAGAGTTTGGGGTTGGGGATTTAGCTCAGTGGCACAGAGCCTGCCTGGCAAGCACAAGGTTGTGAGTTCGGTTCCCGGTACAGGAAAATAAATAAATAAATAAATGGGGAGAGTTTAATTTTGGCTAACAGTTTCAGAGGTTTCAGTCCGTGGTTGGCTGGCTCTCGGGCAGCAGCATCCTGGTGGAAGGACGTGTTTCAGGAAAGCTGCTTACTTGATAGCTATTGGGAAGCAGAGCACAGAAGAAAAGTACTGTAAAATGCCAGGGACCAGATAAACTCCCCACGGTAATGTCTTCTCCCCCAACTATAACGCAAAATGTGCTCTCCTAATCTCCTGACATCTCTCAAACCAATCAAGTTGGCAATCAAGATTATCCATCACAGGTATTGACCTCCAAACACCTTGTCTCCCCACCTTGTAGTAAACCATTGGCTATTTATTAGGCTTGCTGGCATCTTCCCTAGAACTTCTTCTCCCTGCAGTTGAATTTTCTCGTAAATACACCTGAAAAAAATAGGGCTCTACAGACTTCACAGAGCCAGGACTCTTCTTCAAGCTCTTTTCCCATGGTGCTTTGTAATAGTGAAAAGATCACAATAGCTGTGTTCCTACTCTTGGTATGGCTATAATTATGGTATAAATAACACATGCTAAACATGTATTAGAGAAAGGCAATGTGAAAACATACCAAGAAAATGAAATGATTGAACATCAGCCAAACCTTTGTAAGATAAACTGATTTCAGACTCATTTTATCTCCACTCTTTTGTGCTATCACTGTATGTTTCATAGAGTATATTACAGGGCTTATCACTCTGGGAAGGAAAAAAGGAAAAAAGAAAAGGAAGAAGAAAGGGAGAAAGGCAGAGAAGGAAGGAGGAAGGAAGGGAGGTATTACAAATATATTCTCTATCCCAGTCTGGTTGAAAGCACTTGAAAAGTTAAAGAATTTATCATGCTTGACCATAGAGACTGGCATAAAGATGGCATAACATTGATATGTACTTGCTTGGTACCTGATTTTATAAGGGGCTTTATAAGTAATCACTCTTTCAGGAAGATCAAGGGAAAGATCAGATTATTTTTTGTAATTTCCCATTTTTAATCGAGCAATTATAGTCACACGCAAATGTTGCCCATGTGTCAAAGCCCACCCTCACTACCACATAATCTCCCTTTTTCTCTCTCCTCTTTTTTTTTTTTTTTTCAGTGTTGTGGATTGAATCCAGAACCTTGAGCCCATTTAAGCTACTTCTGGTGCCTCTACCTGACTGAAACAACAAAACTTGCTAAGAAGGTATTTACTGAGCTTTGATTCTTTTTTAAAAAATGAAAAAGGAGATCAGATTTCAAAGTTCCCAACACCTACTTATGATATTGTGATCCTTATGTAACAGAACTAAATAGATTATTTTAAAAGAATGCATTTTTCCTCAGCTTCCCAGAAACTTAAAAAGGATAAGCTGAGAATTAACATTCTAGGGCATTAATATCAGACAACTGTCTTAAGGGACTAGAAAAAGATTGTAGAGAAAGGCTCACTGGCAATAGTATCATTAATAAAGGAACAAACATATCGAACTGATCAGCATCCCCTGAATTACCGAAACCCTAAGCCCATCTGCTCCAGCTTCATGAGTCAAAAATCAAATTTGCATGAGCTTATAAATGCTCGATCTTCACAAACATCATAGTCCAATTAAGGAAGTTATCCAACACACTAAATGCAGGTCAGCACATCATCAAACCATTGAAACAGGAATCTTCTACCGAAAAAGAGCGCACACACTAGGATCTTGTAAAAATGTAAAAAAAATGATTAAAGCCAGATGGAACAATAAACAATGCTGCTTGGCAGCAGGATCCTTGGCACAGGGAGAGCATGTCATGTGGAAAGCCAAGAGGGGGTCTCACAGAATCGTCTGAATGAGGTTCAGAAAATCCATCCTGAACAAAGAGAAGGGGAAAGGTCTTGCACTGTAGGAAGTCAAGGTGACCAGATGATACAGGTGTAACAGAAATAGTGGGGATGCTCAAGTGGGACAGGTACTATCAATGAACCTATAGGCTGTGGCATTAAATTGTTAGCTTTTTATTTCCTCTAGAAAATGACAGTCGTAGCACCCACACCATAGAGTTGTCAGAATTCCAGAGATTCTAATTCTAGACAAGACAAACCAGATCACCCTTTCTCAGTGTCAAAACCTATGAAACAAACATCATTGGTCTGTTTGAGTAAATCCTATGAAAACTCCTGAATACTCTGTCATTCACAGGTTTCTCCCATTTAATGTTACAATTACTACAGACCAACTAGATTCTTAAATTAAGCAATGGGCTGAATTTCAAAGTGCTTACCTGTAAGATAGACAGTGCTAGGTGCTTACATCATTCTTTTTTTCTGCACATACAAGATGAAGTTCCTAAGCCTCGTGTACAATTAAGTTGAGATGTTTGGACTGAGTTCTGACCAGTGTGATTCCAGTAGAAAAAGTATTCTGAGTCCAGATCTGCCCTTAGCATCCCTTGTGGAAATGGTTATGTGTCTTTCAGTCACTGGTTTCCACCCAGCTATGTTAAATTCATTTTTCCATTTGTTATGAAGTTTTGAGACAGATCTGCCCTTAGCATCCCTTGTGGAAATGGTTATGTGTCTTTCAGTCACTGGTTTCCACCCAGCTATGTTAAATTCATTTTTCCATTTGTTATGAAGTTTTGAGACATCCTACTAATTTCTGATTATTTTAAACAATTAAAACTTTGTCTGGCCCTATTTAAACCTGAAGTATTGAAAGTTCTCCCCATCCTCTTTTGCAGTGTGAGTTTGAACCATGGTTCTGCCTTCCCCAGGTGAAGAAAGCCTGGGAGTGGCTACCCCTCTTTCCAGGTAGAAAGTCAGGGAGGAAACCTGAAATTGAGGCTCTTGTTTAATGGCAGGTGTCACTTGTGAGAGCCTCCATCTGGTTCATTTAGGTTTCATCCCATGTCTGAAACCTTCTTTACTGTGTTGGTTTTCATATCGATGCATGATGCTCTTGGGAATAGTGCTAATCTTTCTGACTCTCACCAGGGAACTGTTCAGCGGAGCACATTTTCCTTCCTCAAGCCTTTCTTGCTGTGCAAGTCCCTCCCTCTTGCATGGGTCAAGTATTTCTTTGTTAAACCTAGTGGACACCTGGACAGCCTTCAACTGTGGTCCTTTCTCTTACATATGACCCCAGCTACAGTAGCTCCAGAAACTTCTAGGCTGAACCCTGAAATGAAAATGAATAAATTGTGGTGGAGGTTGCTTCATATTCTCCGCAGACACACCTCACCCTAGTCCCTTCAAGCCTGTGAGCCTGTGCTACGCTATTGGCCTCTTATTTCCAGATCCCTTAGCAAAATATACCCTCCCATCCCTACTCTCTCAAATGGAGCAGATGATTTTTTTTAGCTCAGTGAGTGCTTTGCCAAATAATTAGATGACTCCTCTTTTAAGATTTCCAGATTCTTTTTTTAATCACCACATTAAAGTTGTACCTCTGCATGGCATATCATATCATGTTTGCAAATGCAAGCATTATTTGACATTCAAATTAAAGTAAGCATATCTATATTCTTAGACATGTACCATTTCTGATCACTGGAGATAGCTTTCCCACTCGCAATGAGTCAGAAGGTCGGGGCCCATGTCCCACTCAGTAGCATTTTATCCAAGTAAAGCAGTGAAGGGACTGAAGTCTGACTCACAGTGGGTACATCTTGGAGGCCCAGTGATTCTGCTGAGACTCCCACACAGAAGGAGCTCTTATGCAGGATATTAGGAGCACAGAGAGCTGTCACACAGCCAAGTGTCTTCAGAAAAAGGGATATCGAAAAACAAATTTCTATCTGATGCATTTGCTTACTACCTTTTCCCTTAAAATTCACTAAGAAGAAAACAGTAAGAGTGTTTTGTAACTTAAGAGGCATTCAGAGACTGTACATTCCTGCTGTTTGAAGATATTAATGCTGAAGTCAGTTTAGTCCTGCATAACTGTACACCATTTCATGTTACCTCGAGTATCAGGATACATTTCCCCTTCTCTTGGCAGGAAATTAGCCTTGCTAGCTGCTCGTTTAGATTCTTGGAAGAAGTTCTATTCACTCTTTGCTCAGAAATGGGAATGGAGTTGCCCTTGATGAATTAAAGCAGAAATGAACCTCTGCCTACTCCTGGACAAGCCAGGACACACCCTGTCATCCTTTGATAGCTGCAGAGGCTCCTACTCTGTCAGCCCATGGAGGACACCCTCTTGAACATTTTTCACATATCACTCAAAGGGTGAGAGATGCCAAGAGGCTTCTGCCCCATAGTTCAGAAGGTTGGCAGGAGAATACATAAACCAAAGCTGGAATAGACAGAAAGGAGAGGATAATACTGAAAACATGTAAAGGCTGGGTGGTTTTCTCATTCATCTTTGGCTGATGGAAGACAGTCTACTGCTAAGTGAAGGATGGACCCACGGCAATGAAGCTGTCTGCAGCATTGGGAGCTGCCTGGCCATGGCACTAGATCAGAATTACTGCAACTGCCAGGGTGTCAGAAACCATCAATTGTCCCAGACTCACCAGCTGGGCTCAGAGCCATGGACCATGGGGCTAAAACATCATCAGTCTCTCAGATCCAGCTCACACTTACCTCTTCATCATCCAGATCCCCTGCTCCAAACATTTTCATTGATCAAGTCCTGTTATTTCTCCAGGTACAAAGTCAGGGAACACAGAATAGCATCATCATTCTTCTTCACAGTTCATATCCACTAGAGAGTTATTTCCTTCTCTTTTAGATGAATTGCAGTCCAGCAGCACAGATCTTTCCCTTCTATGTGTCCTGCATACAGAGTGATGAATAAGGAAAGTCCTCCCAACTCCTTCCTGAGCTCAGCAGTTCTCTCATCATTTCGGATGCTTGTTCAAAAGTCCTTCATGTCCATCCAAACCCCTGAGTTCTCCCTAACTCAGCCATAGAATGCCACATAGAAAGATCACTTTGTCATTGATTGGGGCCTGCCTTAGGACTCATTTGAATCCCATCATCTATGCAAATAAGGTAACCCTTATGATGATAGCCCAATTCTTAGTTTAAATTCTTCCAATAAAAGGAGACAAGATCGAGCCCAAAGGTGTCACTTCACTGATAGAAGTGCCTGGTTGCTACACATTTCTCATGAACAGCAATTCAGCATTTACTTGTCTTTGACTTTCACCTATTGGACTAAAAAAACATAAAGAATCCCTTAATATAATAAGTAGTTAAAAGTCCAAACATAAACTTCCTTGTGAGGACACTGGCTCTGTGATCTAGTTCCAATCTCTCCCCAATTCTCATTTTTAAACATAGTTTCCGCAAATACTTTCTTCCAAATTCTCTGGCATTATCCTTTTATAATCTTACATGTGGAACTAACCAGCATTTAGCCAAGAGCTCATGAGACACGCAGTAGCACCCTTGCTTTCCTGTGTCGCTTTTCAAAATTTCTATAAATATTATACATAGTTGAGTAAAAGCATGCATTAGGTTTTGCTTCATAGAAAGCTTGACTAAATCTCAGGCAAAATCTTTTAAAAATGTTTTATTTTAAAGCACTATCACTCCTTAGTCCATAATGCAGTTGATTTTTTAAGACCCAACTTAGTATTTTGTATTTACTCCAAATTACACTGTATTTATCTCATCACTTCCATTTATTCATCTCCTTTTAGATTCTAACATTCACCCAAGATACTGACTTTACCCTCTAGCTTCCTGTCACTCCCAAGCGTAATAAATGAGTTATGTCCTCATTCACGTCATTAATAAGGACAGGAAAGCAGAAAGCAAAGCTTAGAATTACCACATAGACAGTTCAAAGAAAATACGAGTACATTAGCCAATATTCGCTAAGTATATATTTAATTAGTTATGAACCCAGGTAACTGCACACATTTCTCCATTTTTAACCCAACTTACTTAACAATTACTAGTTTCTACCTTTGCCAGCAAATACACATGCACTGGAACCTGTCCTCTGTCCTCAACAGCCTCATAGTCTTACAGGAAAATGACAGTGAAGGAGATAAAAATCAGTTTCTTCTACAATGCTGGTGGCCTTGGAGTTCAACTTTGGCTCAAGAAGTAGCACCAGATTTTACCCAGAAATGGTGAGACATCTTTGTGCAATTATCCCCCACGTCTTTTGGGAAACTCTGTCTCTAAAATGTCTATAGTCTTTCACTGTAGTTCTGAGAGCAAGGGTTGTGTGGGGAGGCAAAGATATCTTCGTCAATGAAGCACATATGGTACAGAGAAGAATCAGAGAGGTATCATTCATTCTGGGCTAACAGTGACCCGTATCGCCATGCAAAGGATGTGAGGAAGGACAATGAGTTGGGTAAGTAGCAATTCTACACTGCAGTTATCACATGGGGCTTGCTGTGTTTAACCCCCAATCCCTGGCCTCCACGAGTTCATTGCCTTAGTCTGTGTGGGGGAAAGTTTGATTTGCATTTTTCTTCCAAGATTTTTGTTAGCCAAGAATCTTTGTTTCTTTGGCAACTTCAGATTCTGGAAATCCAAAGCCAGCAAGAGAACATTTTTTTTCCGTTGCTTTTTTGATGTCTCATCACTTATCTAAAGTGTTTTTTGCAGACGGCTAGCTGACTTGAGATAAGCCAAAGTTGGGGGTTTTAAAAAAAGCAAATGTTGGTTAATATTTCAAAAGAATTATTCTGCTTCAGATAATCAGGCAATCATCAGCAAAATGAGAAGGGGAAGAGCATTCCATAGAGAGTTCAGTGTGTGCAAAATGCATGAGAATGCATAGCTTATGAGCAATTTGTCCAAGATCATACTAAAGTCCAGATAATTTTCATTTAGTGAATTTCTCTAATCAAATCCTGTAATTACACAATCCAAACAAAGGAACCAACTTTCCTATTTGAAATCCATTATTTCTAATTCATTTTTTCTTTCCAGAGCATTCACAACTATCTCTAAATATTTTGACTAGGGATTGATATCATCTTAATTGACATATTTATTCTGTTCAGAATTCATCTTATTCTACTTTTAGAAATTGGTGATTTTTCAACCTTCTAGCACATTTTTCTTCCCTAGTAATTTCATGCAATAATGTGATTTAAACATATTTTAACACATTCTTTGTTTTAGGAACTTTCCTAAATGTTTATATCTATTAAATTTAGGTTGGTAGCCAAGACTTTTTGCTCTTTCCAACTTAAAGTTCATTTCACTGATATTCTATGGAAGCAAAATAGACATTGAATTATTCTTCTTTTCTGCAGTTTATTGTACACCCTCCTCCCAAGGATGGAGCCCAACTCTTTTTTGCCCTGCTGTACTAAATATGGATAAGTGAAGCCCTCCTTTCTCTGTAGCAAATTGTATGCAACTGCATTGTTTCTTCTCAGTTCTACCAGTGTTATCCTCAAAGGTCTATTACCCTCTTTGATATCAAACTTTAATAGGCATCACTATTTCTTGCTACCATGCATGTTTTCTTTAAAATCCAAATTCTGAACTAAATATCTATTACTAGAAGGATGTGGGTCAGTGGCTTATGGTTCACTCATTACATAAGATAGTTCACAATGGTAACAAAAAATGAGGTAGATTTCTATGTTTTGACACAGGATATTATCCACGATATATATTCACATGAGGATAAGTCAGAAACAGTGCAGAGGTGAATCCCATCCTAGTTTTCAAAAAATCATATTTAAGATAAGTAATGTTTTACAAACATGCATCATTAACTTTCAAGTTTTTCCTTAAAATAATTAAGACTTCAACCTGTCAAGGTTGGGCCACATATGAGTTTCCTTCTGTCAATGCAGGACAGGTCAGTACTTAGTATCACTCACAAAATAACAGAATCAAAAGCCGAACTTGACAAGTTAGCCATTAGGTAGGGTTTCATGTCCAAGAAGGATGAGAGAGGGGACAATTTCAACTTTTCTAGACCAAAGAATGATGGGAAGAAAAGGGCCAGAAATCAACTGATGACAAGAAAATGTATTTGGTCAACTGGGTTCCAATTTTCAGTCCAAGCTCCATGCTGGAAAGAAAAAATTGTATCCTGAAGTTTACAGGTAGTTACTGTCTTTCCCATTTGGGTTGTGGGAGACCACTGTTACTAGAGTAGAGTCAGCATAGTGAAGAAGGCTGAGTAAGAAAGAGAGAAAGAGAGAAAGGTAGACAGACAGAGACAGAAACAAAGAAATACACAAAGAGACAGAGAAAAAAGGAAGAGAATGATGAGGAGGAAGAGAAGAAAAAATAAGCAGGAGGAGGAAGAGAAGAAGAAATGGAGAAGGAGGAAGAGGAAAAAGAAAAGAGAGGAGAGAGGAGGAGATGGAAAAGGAGTGTAGAAGACAGAGAGAGAGACGGAGGGAATTAGTTTAAACCCATGAGTATCCCTGAGTCCCTGACTTCTTATGAGGAAAAAAAAAAATAAGAGAGAGAGAGAGGAAAAAACCATGTCCAAACCAAGGTTTCTCTCTGCTGTCCCTGGTGGACAACATGTGGAGAGAGTCCAGATCCATGTTGATTTATCCCAGCAACCCAGCAGTAACTCTATGGCGGAGTAGTGGATAATCTCAGGGAGCCTGCCCATTCATTTCCCTTAAAGTTCAGGTGGGTTTTTAACTGTGGGGCTGGAACCAGACTCATTTAACCTGCAGGCAGCAGTGTAACTGTGATGGGTTTGAACTCAACTGGGAGCCACTAGATGGATCCAGCAGTTATTCTGAGTTCTAAGCTCAGTTGGCCGCTCTGAGATATCTCCTGGCCAATTGCCCTCTCCTGCTGGACAGCCAAATCTGGTCCACTCTCCAGCCAGTACAAGCCATGGTGTCCACTCCTCTGTTGCACTGCTGCATCTTTCCTTAGAGGCCTCTGGGATCACCAGCAAACACCATGTGTCTGCAGGTTTGACCCGCTTCTCCCATACAATGAGTCCCAACTCAGCGAGAAGGCAAGAGTGCTATCCTCATTTTCTTTGATGAAGTTTTCCCTCTTTGTTTTCCCTGTGGGCTTCAGCTCTCCCTTCAGATCCTTCCAGGGTCCAGGGGACTCACTTCCCTCCTTCTTCTCCTCCTTGAGTGGCTGTATTCCAGTGTCTGGACAGCCCATCTCAGAGGATCTTTCTCTGCTGCTTACCACTCCACCATCTTCCTGGAAGGCCCGCTGAGTTCTCATGAGGAAGAGACACATTTGTTGGAGGTCAATCCACTTAGCCTGCCCTGGTGTCTCCTATGATAGGGAGCAAGGTAACTCTACAGCAAACACTTGGCCCAGGGTCTGGATGTAGCAGAGACGTAGAAGTATCAATTACATATTGTAGAGCCAAGAAGAAACCTAGCTGGAAAAGGAAGCTACTGGACCTAAACAAACTAAAAGAGACCAAATCACATGTTATGTAAACCACAGACTTTAGAAACCAGTTGAACAAGTGACATTCATTCAGAAACCAGGGAGGCAGTTCCAAAGAACATTCCAAAACTGGAAGCAACAAGCATATTTGAAGACTTTTAATGTTTATTATTAAGAAAGTACTGATATAGTCTATAATATTGGGAAGATGGAACTACAGATATAATCAAAAGATCTGGATTCCAGTCTCAGATCTGTTCCATAATAGCTGGCTGGTCTAAAGCAAACTTCTTACCTTCTTAGAGACTTATGTCCATCCTGTGGAAAATACGGTTCCTCTTACACTGAATGCTTCAGAAAACTGCTGTTAGAATCCCATGAGATTATATGAAAACATTTCAGAAAGTGTAAATGCTACATACAAGTTACAAGGTATTATTATATTGCTATTTCTGTACTTTGTGTATTATCTTCCGTGGTATCAAGTTTTTGATATGTCTCCCATCTCTTTCAATGTGAGAAATATTCCAAAAACTACATACGTATTCTAATAACTATATTCTTCTTTGTCTTTATGATGTCACTGCTTTTCCTTCTAGAATATTACAGCTATGATATTATGAAATCACAATCTAGAAAAATGATTCTGGTGCTTTGATACCATCAGCGTCACTGGATATTCACATTCTACATCCTTCCTTCTCTTCCAAAGTCGTGGTCTTCTATCAGAATGAGAGCTGAATCCATCCAAAGTCTGCAATTCTCCATCTTAAAATTTGTAACCTCTAGAGATCCATCCGTTCCAGTTACTGCTGCTGACTACAAAATCCCTGTGTTTATCAGCAGCAAAAAGCTGTGAGATTAAGGAGCTTGCTGACTTTCTGAAAGGTCTCCTCTGTCTTCAAAAGCTATATCCAGTCTCTGTCTCTATCTCTGTCTCTGTCTCCGTCTCTGCCTCTGTCTATCTGTGCCTGTCTCTGGTTCTGTTTCTCTCTCCCCGCACCATGCACACACATGAGCAGGCACCTCTACACCTACTCATGTGCACAAATACTATCAAGTACTATACTCTCTTAGTGCTCTTGGTCCTTTTCTGTGAGGAGAAAAACATTGAAAAAGCAGCCAGATCTCAACTGGAGACTTACAGGGAGTTAGCATCAGTCACTGAGAGCTTGCGCAGTCCCTCAAAAAGACTAAAGAGGCAACAATTGGCATATGGATCTATGACGTTTGCTAATGTGTTGTCCTTATTAAGTTTGTTCATGAACATCTAGCTTTTCTTATGGTTCAGGGCTGAGTTCATAACAGAGCCACACTACCAACCTGTTAGCATCCGCCTGAGTCACAGGCAACTTCTGAGGAGGAATTCAGGAGGAAGAAGAGAGTCAGCTTACAAACCCAAGTCAATAGTAAGATAATACAGTTACTACAAAGAATTAAACCAATACATGCCCAGCACTGAGCAAGTACGTTATAAAAACTGTCATAATTAAGCTTCACAACTGTCATGCAAGTCTACAGTTATCACCATCTGAAAGAGAGTAAATGATCCTTCCTAAACCAGTTTGTATTACACATTTTTCACATAAGAAAATTTTTTCTTTACTCAATTTATTTCCTCACATCTTATTCCATAACTGGCAGAACATAAGTTTCACAGCCTGGCACATGTGGACACATAGAGAACACCTGCCCACAGGTTGTTGCAACGTGAGACAGGGCATGTGACAGGGAAGTGAAGATTCCATTTCTAAGCCATTGTAAAATTAAAATTAAAACTACACTTGGTCAAGGTGGTCCATAATTCTTGGATCAGCAATAGCTCTAATGAGTTGAGAAAAAGGAAAGATAAATTTTTATAGAATAATATTATACAATATGGTAATAATTTGATGAAGTGAGATATCAGATATCATTATATCAGTGGTAAGTATTGTCTATTATCATCCATTGCAGGCTGTACTGTAGCATGTTGTGTAAGTCCATCAAAGGCCCATGGTATACAGGTCTCACAGAAGTCAGCCTCAGGCCCTCAACAGAGAGGTGCAAATTAAGCTTTTGTCTTCTCCGCTTTTATTCTGCAAGAAAGCAGCACATAAGTACCATAAACCCCTGTGAGTGCACAAATGTTGTGCATGGCTCGAATGTGCTTCCTTTCATTCACAATGTGAGAAGTAAACACCATCAAATTTGAGTAACAATCTCTCAAATGACTGACGTGTTTACTAAAGACTAAACCAAACATGCACAAAAAGCCAAACATATTGAACTGAAAGTTCTGTAGCCACATCAGGATTCACCAACAGGCTCCCAAAAGTGCAAGTAAGCACTGGAGTAGGCCTTGGGCACATTCTTAGGGGAATAGCACTTTCCTTTGAAGGACACCTCTATGTTTTCAACATGCTTCTTCAAATCCCTTTTTTAAAATCAGTAGTCAAACAGCTTGTACTGCAACATACAATCAGTAATTAGAAAAGGCTATATGTCCAGAATTTGGAAAGTTTGCTAACCATTGCTTTCTGCTGTGGGACTTCAATTCAGAAAATAAATTTTTAAGAAGTGTGATTCCTGACTCCAGCAGTGCCCGTGAATACATGAAAACAACTTCAGCTTGTTCCTGACATGGGAGAAAAGGGTTTCTACAGAATGAGAAAAGAGAGTGGGAAAACTGGGTCCCATCTGGAATTTCAAACACGTTGATACTTACAACCACATTTGCCTTTGGTGACAATACCAGAAAAGCAGTTTGAAATTGATATTCCTCAGTTTCCCATCAACTAAGAAGATGTGGACAGATTGAATAAGACAGAAATAGCCTAGTACAGAAACAACATCCCCTTCACCAACTGCCCCAGCCTGTACATCTCAGATCTGCTCTTCACACTACCCTGTCGGCTACCTGGTACATAAGAACACTCTCTCACATCTCTATATTTTTATATAGGCTGTCTATTCCCTAAATATGTCTACCTAGGAAAATGTCTTCTTTAACGACAGAATTAAATATTTCTTGTTCTCTTACCAAATTATTTCTTCTGTGCTTCCTCGGGCCTTTGTATACACATCTCTAGTAGCATTCACTGCACCATTCTATGTGGACTCAGTTACTCATGGAAGCTCCCTGCACTCAGTAACTATGTAGTGAGATGGTGAAGAACAGAGCAAACATGGTTCTGCTGAAGGAACTTCTGGAGAGGGGTTTTGGGTCAATATGTATAGGAGCTGTGCTCCCTTGGTATTCCCAAATAAGAAAACATAGGACCAATTCTTGGTTTTGGTCTTGGTCTTGGTCTTGGTCTTGGTCTTGGTCTTGGTCTTGGTCTTGGTCTTGGTCTTGGTCTTGTTTTGTTTTCTGGTATTGGGAATCGAACTCACGACCTTGCACTTGTCAGGCAGGCACTGTGTCGCTGAGCTAAATCCCCAGCCCCCCAATTTATTGTTGACATGCTGCAGGTCATTGTCTAGCAACTGAGAATGCTTTAATGAAGTTTTATAGGGTGGAATACCATTCACATATCACACACCATTCCCTAGGAGCAACATGGTACTCACTACACAGTAAAACTTCTAGACTCGCTTGTATAGAGGTAAGACCCCTTATCTCCCAGAAGTTCTCATAACTTTTATGAATAGAGTTTAAAACGGAGCCAAGAGATGCTGACTTTGGAGCGAGTGTCTCTGTAATTCCCAGAAATGTCATTATATTGTTCCTTAAAGTAAATGACCAAGACAGAGCTTGAGTTATTATGCGGCCAGCAGGAAATAGTGAAGTTGATAGATTCCTTTATCTTCAGTGATAACAATAATGATGATGAAAACGTCCTGGGTTACATCTCACAGGATGGCAAATGAATTTCTAGGGTCCTCTTTAAAGAATTAGAGTTTGAGGCAGAAAAATGGAGATGATACTACCTGAATGATGATTGAAGAAACATTACTGAGGGTGAGAGCATTAGGAAAGAGACTAATTTCCTAAGACTCTCGTTTTGTCCTGGAGGTTGACGCTATTTCCATGTCGTAGGAAAAATTTGAGCTCTACTTCTGATAATTCATGTTTTAATATCCCCAAATGTGAAGCAACTGAACAATTACCACTCCCTTACCCTTACCTGGAAGAAAGAGTAAATCAGCTTTGTGCTCTGGCTTGGTGAGCCCCTCCATTCAAAAGGAATAGCTCAGCTTGCCAAGTCCTTTCTCTTCATATTATACTCATACATGTTTGATTATAGACTCATGTGGTTTCTAAACCCTAAACTATGACTTGAATAATACCACACACAAAATTTTAAAATTCTTTTTCCAGGAATGATGCTATGGTGCTAATGCTGACTTCCTTTTACTTTTAAAAAATAGCTGTCTCCTCTTTTGGATACCATTATTCCTATCTCCCCAGAGCTTGAAGAAAAAAAAAAGATCTATACTAGCTGTCAGGAATCCCTAGTAATACACCAAACAGTGCTACCCTCTGATAAACCACTTCATATTTTAATAACATTTTCAAACTTTATAAAGCTACCGTAATTTGACCCTCTCGTCATCCTTAACAGCCAGTATGGATACAGTCACCATCTGGGAGATGAAAAAAATGTAAGCTCTGAGATGTGATGTGTAGGAGAGAGTTTTAAAACTCTGATATTAGTCTATAATATAATCAGAGTGAGTGACAGTCACGGTCTGCCTCGCAGGGCAGAGCTCTGTGGTCACCCAGCACTAACCCAGTGCTTCTCTTGTTTTGTTTCCCACAATGAATTTTTTACTCCAATATGTTTTAGTTCTTTGATGTTAAACTCCTGTCCTTTAGAATGTCAGTAGTCTAAGGTAATTTTTTTTAATCCATGTGTTTGTTATGTAGAACTCTCTGTTAGTGCTAGATGTGGGAGAAGCATTTAGAGTTTAAAGCCAAGAATCCAGATGGAAGCTCTCAAATGTTAGTTGATCTATGTGTGTCAACATTAAAGAATCACCAAAGGAGAACATCCAGAGTAACACTTCCAAAAACAGGGTTGAACACTGAATCTACACTTTTCTTCGGCCTAGCTCTAATTAGGACCATGTGTTAGGAGATGAAGCTTCTTGGGGTGCAGCATCTAGACTGCAACAGAGATGGTGACGTGGAAGGGAGGTTTGTCCTGCATATATACTTACATTCGAAATGCCGACAAATACCAGAAAATTTGCACAAGGTCTCCCTACTTCATATTTATTTTCTATTTTGCTATATCCACATATAATTTTAGCTTCTCATATAAAAGAAAGGATGCATATAGAAGCATGTGCATCTGACAATATTATGAGCTCAAGGTTCATATATTTATCACAGGGAAATAGGGGGGAAGGAGGGAACAATAAAAAGAATTAAGATGTAGTATATACCCATACCAATGCCACACGATAAATGCAATCATTATGTACAGCAAACATGTACTGATAAAAAGGAAAGAACTTCTGCATAGGTTCCTGGAAGTCCTCTTTGGCCCCGAGCATGTCTACAAAGCCT